AAGCAGGACTGAACCAAGACTAAAACAGAACCAAAACAGAACTAGACAAGGACTAAACCAGGACTAGATCAGGACTGAACCGGGACTGATCAAGGACTAGACCAGGACTAGACTAGGATTAGGCCAGGACTGAACAAGGGCCAGACTAGGACCAGAAACTGAACACCAGGACATAACTGAAAATAAACTATCTTGAACTAAACCGGACTTAAACTTGGACTAAACCGGACTTAAACTTGGACTAAACCAGGACTAAACAGAGACTTAGACCAGGACTAACCTCGGTCTGTATCCTTGTCCTTAAACCTGGTCTCGGTCCTCAGCGCGAGCACACGGACACGCTCCTGCACCTGCGCATGATGCTGTCGTTCACAGACTGCGTGCTGGAGCTGGCGGCGGTCCGGGCGGGGGGGGCGGACCTCGGGGTGTCTGCGGCGTCTCTGTACCCCCCCCAGGACAGCGTGGTGGTCGACCAGATCAGCCAGCTCAGCAAAGAGTGGGGGTAAGACCTGGAAGAAGATTTACAATGACATCTGAGAAAGACTAAAGCCAAACTGAGCCTAAACCAAGTACACAGTTTGTACAAATGTCCTCTGGGAGGCGCTGTGTCACCTCACAACAACAGACCAACAGCTACGCTCAGTCTTTTATTCTTTCTGCCATAAAGCTTTAAAATGGAAAGTAAAATTTGCTGTTGTGTCGCTGATGCGCTGAGGTTTGAATGTGTGACGTGTGTTTGTATTTGATGCTCGCAGATGTGGAGTTGTGGTTGGATGAACACAGGACCTTGTCACAACAGAAATAATCAGAGAAAATCATTTGTGGGTTTGACTTTTAGCCATTTTATAAGCAAACCCAGAGCACTCCTGTATATATTTATTATTACTTCATTATTCTTGCCTAGTTTATGTATATAGTAGTTTTTTTAATTATTATTTTGACTGTTCCAGGGGTCGGTGACCTGCAGCTCTTTCATCCTTCTGCTGTGGCCCCTGTGACTTTGGAAAATAAATAATGAGTGTTTAGTAATAATAATAATGCATCAGTTTTACAAAGTGCTTTTTTGGACACTCAAAGACACTTTATAGAACATTATTCATTCATTCACCTGGTGGTGGTAAACTACTACTGTAGCCACAGCTGCCCTGGGGCAGACTGACGGAAACGAGGCTGCCAATCTGCACCATGGGTCCCTCCGACCACCACCATACACTCACACACACACACACACACACACACACACCACTTTCATACTAGGCAATGTGGGTGAAGTGTCTTGCCTAAGGACACAGTGACTGGCGCCTCCTGTGGCTCCAGATTTTCCCAGTGTCTCCATCCAAGTCCTGACCAGACCCGGACGGGATCAGACTTTAACAAGCTGTTGTTGTCACAAAATTTAATTACAGTGTATTTTTATTTTAGTTTGTTTTTAAATGTAAATCTAATTTGTAGATAATGGTAATCGTGTAACACTAAAATAAAATATTTTAAATATTTTTGTCGCTCAAAAAATGTGTCACATCCGTCGATGTGCACCACCGGCACAGACCTGACAGCCCCAGATTTACCAGCACGATTTACTGAGCTTTTACCCCTCGTAGGTGGATGGAAAAATCCAAGAAAAAAAAAGTTTCTGAAGAAAACGGAACATTTAATGTGACATGGGCAGATTCTCACATGCTTCAGTAAACGTGATAAAATGATGACGGACACAGGATCAGACGGTGTTTTTGGTTCTCTGCAGGTGGATCATTTAAATACTCAAATAGACATTGAGTATTTCATTTGAAGCAAACGTCAACCGAGTGTCTTTTTTTCAGAGTTCAAAATGTCTTTGTTACATATAGAAATAAAATTCCGTGTTCTCTGTAGCATTTCATTGATTTCATAAATGCAACACACTGTAGAGTTTTAAACAGGGCACACAGGTAAAATGAAAACATTCTGCAGTTTTCTCCTCAAAGTGTTTTGTGGCTCCAGGTGTTTTCTTTTCTGTGGGAGTCGCTCCAAATGGCTCTTGTAGTATTTAAAGTTGCCGACCCCTGGATTACTCAAGATCATTTTAGTAAAAAACCATAAACAGTATGTGATGTGTGTGTAGTTACGCTGTGCTGTGCTTGTGCTGCCCCCTGCAGGCAGGTGGAGCAGCTGGTCCTGTACATGAAGGCGGCGCAGCTCCTCGCCTCGTCTCTGCATTTGGCCAAAGCTCAGATCAAATCGGCCAAACTCAACCCGTCCAGCGCCGTCAAGCAAGGTGAGCTCCGAAGTACTCCAAGAAGAACTAAGAAAAGTAAAAGATGACAGATAACAGATGATACGCAGAGAGGGAAAACATAAAACAAAGACTAAAATGGAACTAAACCAGGACTAAACCAGCTTTAAACAAGGACTAAACAAGGACTAAACCAAGACTAAACCAGGACTAAACCAGCTTTAAACAAGGACTAAACAAGGACTAAACCAAGACTAAACCAGGACTAAACCAGCTTTAAACAAGGAC